CCTTCAGTTGTCTAGCCTGACTCTCTCATTTTACTGAGAAAACTGAGGCACAGAAAGGTTAAAGGACTTACTCAAGGTGAGATAAGTGGCAGAGGCTAGATTTGAATTCAGTTCCTCCAGGTCTAAAATCAGTGCTCTCGTCACTGGAGCATGCAGGCTCCACCACCTATAAACTGGTCTTTAAGGTCCCTTAGCTTGTAGGACTTGTCTTCAATGTTTCTTAGTGGGGAGGAAATTCAAATTCAAATTCAAAAAGCATTATTATTATTAAGCATATATTATGTAGTAGGCACCATGCCAGGTGCTGGGGATACAAAGTACCTGATTACGAGGAACTCAAAGTCTAGTGGTCAAAACAATGGCTAGTATGAAAATATGTTTTGCATGATTTCATATCTATGATGGATATCATATTGCTTTCGTTCTCAATGGGTGGGGGTGGGGCTGGAACGAGGGAGAGAATTTGGAACTCAAAATTTAGGATAAATGAATGTTCAAAAAAAAAGTCTAATAACAGAGCCAAGTATTTGCAGTGAAGGCCAAGTAGAAAGGATTAAGGGGCAGAGGTGGGGTAACCTTTGATGGATAATGGGGAACTGGACTTGGGAATGTCTGGTTTGGTATCAGAGCAGTCAGATGAACTGAGTTCAGATTGCCAGCTCTGACACTGATAAGTTTCTTTAGTTCTCTGAGCCTCAGTTTCTTCATCTGTAACAGAGGGATTGTAACAATAATTGTACTACTCGCCTTGCAGTGTCGTGAGGAAAGAACTTAAGGCATTAGGTGCCTTAGTGGAGAGCCTCCTGGATTTGAAGTCAGACGACCCAGGTTCAAATCCTGAATCTGTCACTAGCTCTGTGAACTTGATCAAGTCATTTATGGGCTTCGGGGAAGTAAAAGAAAGGGGTTGCCCTAGGCGACTTCTAAGGTTTGAGCTAAAATTATGACCCTTGAGTACTTCCCATTCAGGTATCTTTGAGCACCTTATTCAATTCTGTTAAAAAATTTAGTGAAAACTTATGGGAATTTGCTTTCCTGTGGGACAGATAGAACATATGCTGTTAATAACAATACCTCTTCATGCTTTAATATTTAACTGAGTTGTGATTTCACTGGCCTGGGGCTTTCCTTGACCACAACCCCTTTCTGGCCCATTAAAGGAGAATCATGAGTGACTGTGGCCAAAAAAGTTGTCCCCCTGCAACCAACTTTGTGATGAGCCTCTTCAAACTTGGTTGGGCTGGAATTTGAGTGTCAGATGTACTCATTATAGGGCTGGACTTCCAGCTTTTCCAGCTTCCTGGAAATTGCCAAAGTTAAGCTCCATTAACTCAGCCTTCAAGAACCCAAAGGTCACCTCCATCTTACAGTGAGACACAAGAGGAGGAGGGCTCTATTAATAAAGGTAGCAGTAGTAAAAACCTAGCACTTATACAACACTTCACAGCTCTCCCATTCATCATTTCCTCTAACTCCACTAAACTCCAGGAGGTGTGATTGTTCCCATTTTACAAATGAGGAATCTGAGTCTGAGAGAGATGAAAGCAGGTGCTCAGGGCCACAGTCAATAGATCAACAAACATTAAATAAGCATGTACCAGACACTATGCTCAGCTTTGGACATACAAATACAAAAGTAAAATTCCTTCAATCAACCAATCAACAAGGCTTTATTAAATACATATTCTAACTTTGGATCTTTTAAGCCATGTGTTTTTAACAAAGTTAAATACCTAAGGAAGCTTTGGGAAACAATTGAAGAAAAAGGATTCAGGTGAAATTCTCTCTTATGTAAAATAGAATGGAGTGGGAATGGAAAAAAGGATGGATTTAAATGATATTGAGCCTGAGTGAACTGGGAAGGGAGGGGCGTGGGGAGAAAAACCCAAGATTTCCAGATTGGGTGTGAGAATACTGGTGCCATAAGTGGAAATAGGGAGTATGGAGGGCTGAGCAAAGGCTGTTTGGGGTGGGGCAGCAGGGAGAGAAAGACTGAATTGTGTTTTGTTGGTGGAGTAGTTTGTTAAAGGTGTTCAGTTTTTTGTTGTTTAGTCGTTTTCAGTTGTGCCCAGCTCTTCATGGTCCCATTTGAGGTTTTCTTGGCAAAGAGACTGAAGTGGTTTGCCATTTCCTTCTCCAGCTCATTTTACAGTTGACAAAACTGAGGCAAACAGGGTGAAGTGACTTGCCCAGGGTCACCATAGCCAATTCAGGACTGGAGATAAGAGCTAGAGAAATTAGGAATTTAACCATGGACGTAAGGAATGGCATGAGAGTGTGGTGACAAGAGATCTTGATCCCAGAGTCAGAAGACTCCATATCTCACCTCTGATTTTACTAGCTGTATGACCTTGGGCAGATCTCTTCATTTTCTTGGGTCTCAGTTTCCTTATCTATAAAATGAAGCGGTAGGTATAGGATAATTTCTGAAGTCCCTTTCAGTTCTAGATCTAGGAAGAAAGGAAGGAAGGAAGGAAGCCCTTATTAAGCATTTATTCTTACCACCAAACTCTGATGCCATCCTTCACTTACATGATTAAATTCCTAATTTCCATAGCCCTTATCTCCAGTTATGAATTTGCTATAGTGAACTTGCTATTTGAACATCTCATGTGCAGCTAGGTGATGCAGTTGATAGAGCACTGGGCCTGGAGTCAGGAAGATCTGAGTTCAAATCTAGCCTCAGATACTGACTAGCTGTGTGACCCTGGGCACTTAAGTCTGTTTGCTTCAGTTTCCTCATTTTTAAAATGAGCCAGAGAAGGAAATTACAAGCCACTCCAGTATCTTTGCCAAATGGAGTCATGAAGAGTCAGACACAAAATGAAATTAAAATGAAAAATGACTAACAACAGTGAACATATCTACCTAACTAGTCCATAAAAAAAACACACACAACAACAACAACTAATCTTTCTCTCCCTCCTGTTATATCCCCACACTATATGCCAGGTACTGTGCTAAGTGCTTGACAAATATTATCTCATTTAATTCTCACAACAGCCCTGGGAGATAGGTGTTATTATTATACCAATTTTACAGTTGAGGAAACTGAGGAAAACATAGGCTAAATGACACACCCAGGGGCACTCAGTTAGCTTCTGAGGTAGAATTTGAACAGAACCTCCCTGACTCCAGGTCTGATGTTCACCCACTGTGCCACATATCTACCTCAACTATATGATCCTACATAACAGAAGCTCTAAGAGTAGATGAAGTCATTATAGGTAAAAGTATATATTGAGAAGACAAGAGGGCAAAGCTTCTGGTGATGCTCAAAGAGGAGAGAAAACAGTGGAGAGTAAATCCATTCAGAAATATAGGAAATTATTTTGTATTTACTTGCATATTGATCTCCAGGAAAATGTAAGTTCCTTGAGGGCAGGGGAACTTTATTTATTTTATTTTATTTTAATTTATTTATTTTATAAAGGGTCTCCCCTCCCCTTCAATTCCTAGTAGAGTGCCTGGTCCATAGTATGTGCTTGGGATATCTTTATTTCCTTGGATAGAGAAAGAATCAGATGAGGATAGTGTAATAAAAGTATAATGAAAGCCAAGGCAATTGAGAGTTTCAAGGAAGGGGTGGCCGATAGTGTCAAGTGCTGCTGAAAGATCAAAAAGAATAAAGGATTAAAACAAGACCATTTAGTCAGTGAGGTCAGCCTTGATCTTGGAGAGAGGAGTTTGGGTCAAGGCAGCCTGTGTAACTGGGGAAAAGAAGCACTAATCAGAGAATCAGGAGATGGGGATTCTTATTCTGCTTTTGACATGATTGAGCTTGGATTTGATAGTTGAGGTTGTTGGTGCAGGCAGGACATCAGGAAGAGAGTGAGTAAGCAGATTGGTAATAAGGTGGGGTGAGAGGCTGTGGTGGTTCAGAGGGTTAGCAGCATTAAAAGAAGTTTATTTTAGGATATCAGAGACTTGAGCACATTTAGATAATGTATGTAAAGTGCTTTGCAGACTTTAAAAAGGCAATATAATTGTCTAGTTTTATTGATAGTAGTAGGATTATGAAGCTAGTGGAGGCAGAGGGATTGAAGCTGCAAGAAATAGAGAGAGTAACTAATTCAGGGGTCCTTAACCTTTTTATGGTTCCTTTTGGCAAAATAATGAACTCTTCTCAGAATGTTGCTTTTAAATGCATAAAATAAAATACATAAGCTTCTAAAGTAAACCAATTATATGAAATATAGTTATCAAAACATTTTTCAAAATCGGTTTCACAGACCCCAGATTAAGAACTCCTAAACTAATGGAATTCGGTTCTCGAGGAGACCTGAAGCCATAGGTTTATAGATCCAAAGCTAGGAGAGCCCTGCTAGGTCATCTAATCCAACTCCTTCCCTCTACCTTGAGCCTGGGATGCAATCCCTCTTCCAAAATTTTC